AAATACCAATAAATAACATAACCACAGCAGTCGCGATGGTCTGATCTCATTTGAAGCAAGAGATTGCAATGATGTGTGCAGGTGCTGTAGTGCTGTCCTAATTCTTAGGGGTAAATTTTGAAGCCCTTTCTCTTCACCCTCTGTTTTAAGGGCCAAGAGTATGTGAGTATGGCCTGATTGACACACTTGTTTAAAGAACCAAATTATCTAGAGGTCTGTTATCAGGAAGACTTGCTGTGATAAATGAAATCATGAATTCTACTGTGTACCAACAATGTCCAGCCATCTGTTAGGTACTTTAAGCTGAAGCAAACTTCTTCAGCTGGACAATGATCCAAAGCACACAAGCAAGTTCACTTCTGAGGGTGCTTTCACACCTGCCTTATTTAGTTCAGTTGAAACGCACTAGAGTTTGTTTTCCTTCTTGGTGCGGTTCGTTTGGGCAGGTGTGAATGCAGAAATCCTACTTGAGTGCTCACCAAAAGCGGACCAAAAAAGCAAACCAAGACCTGCTTGAATAGATGGTCTCGTTACGGTTTCAAACGAACCCTGCAACGGTTAGTGATGAGAACATGATCCGAACTAAAACAGACCCAAATGCAAAAAGTACTGCGCCTTTTGGACTGAACCGCCAGGGCGCTGTGCATTATAGGATGTGGAGGAAAAATATTTGTTGACAGGCTTTACCAACAGAGAAAGAGAGGGAAAAACATTATCTAAAGCATCGTTGGTAATATTCCTGCAAGATGACCATGTCGCAGATTAGCTAACGACAAATTAATTCACGCCGCCTCCTTAAGTGACGTGCGATGCATTCCCAACAAACACATCTACGTTGTAGCGATGTCTGCACAACATTGCAGCTTGCATGCTCGCTACATTGTCACAATGTAGAAATGTAAGATGTGAGAAGGTTGTAGCAACGTTGTCGTGTGACATTCAGCAACCGCGAGATGGCGTTCTTACTACTTGTATTAATATGTTTTGTGGCAGTTTATCAATACTGCCTAGAATACAGGATAAGCAGTAATTCTATTAATATTAAACAGTTCATTTATTTTTCCTTTTTAATTCAACAACTGCATGTGTAAACTTTTAAGTATAAAAATGCCACACAAATAAGTATAATCAAACTTTTTATTATGTATTTCACATTTAATACGTACAGTGCACATTTAATTATATGCAAACAGTATAAAACTAAGTTTAGATTTTATTACGTATACTACACAGGAAATTACTTTTACTAAAGCTTCAGAATTTTAATTTAATTACATATAAAATCTCCAGTGAGTAATTATGTAGCCTTCTTTGTTTTAATTCTTTAATAATATATCTTATACTAAAATTTCATACAATTAAATGAATTTAGATACAGGGAAAGCTGGTTTGAGTTAATAGAAGTCAGAGTTAACCTAAGAATAATTACTTAAATTATGAGAAGAGAAAGAAAACTACAGGTCCTGTAGTTGTGGCATTATTCGCTGTAAAATAGAATGTTAATCTTCTATTTCAATGTCATTTCAGTAACGGCTGTACAAAATAATAAAGTAATTTATCATAAGCATGATTTATTTTCTGCATTATGGACATACTGTGTTTTGAATAACATAACTGCATTAATATAATAGTAAATAGAGTAGTATACCCCTTACAGTACCTCATCTAATTCTTCTTTCCATAGATCAGGAATTACAGCAACACTGTGATCTGAGGTAAATTTAACAACTGAACACATTCTGAAAGACAAGTTACATGAGTAATTTGAAAACAATAGTGAGTAGTTAAACAATAGAGGTTTAAGCAACTTACACATAATTAAAATCCATAAATTATCAATAAAATATTACCTCCATGTGAAAATAGCCTGTTGAGCAAAGAAAAAAAGTGGATTTTAAATTCAAACATCAAAAGTCCAATCAAAGTAGCAATTTAGACCAGCAGATCTTTTTATTGATATCAATAACTAGGCATTTTCACATCAATTTATATACTTAAACTTATGGGGATAGATCACCCAAACTGACAATTCTGTCATTTAGCCTCATCCTTCACTTGTTTCAAACGTATTTAGCTTTTTTTCTGCTGATCAGTAAAGAAGATCTGTTGAATAAACCCTGTAAAACTACAACCATTGACTTCCTTAGTGTTTTTCCTACTATGAAAGCAAATGCTTACAGATTTTAGATTATTTCTTTAAAAGTCTTTACTGTTCAACAGAATAAAGAAACTTGAAGGTGTGGAATCACTTATTATTTAAATGGCAAATAATTCGGGAGTACATTTTCATTTTTGAGTGAACTGTCCCTTTAACGGGATGCAAAAACTGCACAGAGGTGTTTTGTTATTAAAAGTCAGTTTGTGTGTTTTGTAAAAAGTGGGTTGGCTGGAATCGTGTGATAAAGTATCCATAACTGACTGATCACAATCATTATGGAAAAAACTGAACTTCAAAAACATGGTCCATTCGAGTAAAGACAAGGGGTCGGTAAATTAACAGGAAATGTTTAATCGAGAGATTTAACAATGATTTTAATGTTGTCGCCGGCCGTGAAAGGAGTGCTAAAATGTTACTTGCTCGTAATAACTTCATTATGTCTTTTTTAACTGTATGTGTAAGGTTGGGACAGATTGTTGTCGAAATCGTAGGTTTGTTTGAATATTCACAATTTACATATCTTATTTAGCAACAAGAAATAAAACGATACTCGCATCTCCTCGGTCGTTGATAAATGAGACGACGACTTGTTTAAATTTAAAGTGATTCAGCTGTGACCAGTAAAAAGTGGTCAGCCACGCCACCGAAGCACAACCTAAAGCATGCGGCTCCCATGATGTTTAAATGGCAACACTATGACATCGTTGTGACAACCTTTAACAACAATATAGAATCCTCAACCTTTTTGCAAGGTTAGTACAGCATTGTAGGAAGGTCGCTACGTTGAGGCAACATGTGTTTGTTGGGTTAAAACATTGCTTTCCAGCTGCAGCCGTGCTTCATTTTTGAAATGTATAGTTTGTCTAAAATGATGTATGCAAACTATATAGTACACTTTGAGCAGGGATACAATAAGTAAGCGCAGTCGTCCCTCCATAGCAAAAAACGACATTTTGTGTTTGTCGTGTTACTCCCCATTCACACAGCTCTTCAGCGTCAACGCTTGACTTAAGGCGTGTCTGAAGTTGGGGCTGATGCAATCGTCATAGCAGCGTCAATTGGCTGACGCTTCCGTCAGCGTTTGAAAAGTTGAGCTAATCCCAACTTTTGCAGCGAGTAACGCCTCTGAAGCGGCGCAGACGGATCCACAATGCAGTTCGGCAATGCCTGATGTCACCCATTCAAAGTGAATGGGGAGCATTGACGCTGACGCCCTTTGCGAATGGGGCGTTAAGGTTTAACTGGTGACCGGGTTAACTGGTGTCCCTTTTCAGATGTAAGCTATTTACGTTTGCAGATTAGCAGATTTGTCACCTTTTCACAGCAACAAAACATTCCCATACCAAATAAAGATTCTTATGTTCATACTTGTACAGATGTGACCAACATAGTACATTGAAATGTTGTGATTTTTTTTTTTAAGTGATATTCTGTTGCAAAATATTATATATTAAATATATATTAGATATTCTTTCATTTTCTTGTCGGCTTAGTCCCTTTATTAATCTGAGGTAGCCACAGCGGAATGAACCGCCAACTTATCCAGCATGTTTTACGCAGAGGATGCCCTTCCAGCCGCAACCCATATCTGGGAACATCCACACACACTCATACACTATGGACAATTTAGCCAACCCAGTTCACCTGTGTCTTTGGACTGTGGGGAATCCAGAGCACCCGGAGGAAACCCACGCGAACGCGGGGAGAACATGCAAACTCCACACAGAAACGCCAACTGACCCGAGAATCGAACCAGCGACCTTCTTGCTGCGAGGCAACAGCACTACCCACTGCACCACTGCTTCGCCTATATTAGATATATTAGACATAATATGTTGCATAATAATATCATTATTGTATTAATTTTTTTTTTTAACACGGTCACCAGTTAAGCTGTAACACCGGTTTGTTTACTTGTGGGAGTTCCCTGCACTTGAATTCTGACCAATTGATAAGCAGTTTAGGAGCTGTTCAACAACATCTGGCCACTAAGTGATGTGGATTTTGTCAAATAATTGCATTTCAGTTCTTTTCATCTGGTTCAGACCAAACCCAGCAGTGTAGTGTTATTACGACCCAAAGATGGCAGAAAATGCTACAATTTACCTTTTTATTGCCCTTGGTCCAGACCAAATAAAGCGAACTACAGATATGAATGCACCCTGAATGGCTGAAGAAAAACAAAATTATGGATTTGGAGTGGCATAGTCGAAGTCCTGAGCTGAATGTGACATGATCAGGCAGTAAATGCCTGAAAGCCCTTTAATGTGGCTGAATTACAATTCTGCAAAGATGAGTTGGCCACAATTCCTCCACATCGCTGTAAAAAACTAATTTCGAGTTATCAAAAACCCTTGATTCTAATTATTGCTGGTCCAAAGGTGGTCCAATGAGTTATCGGGTTCAGGGGAAACACTTTTTTTCGCACAGGGCAATGCAGTTTTAAATTTTGCTTTCCCTTTAAAATATAAACCTTCATTTCCAAACTGCACAATGTGTTTACTTGTTATATTTAACTAATTTTTAAGCTTGTTAGATGATCTGAAAATGCAAAAACATAAAAACTTCAGTAAGGGGACAAACACTGTGACACCACTGTAAATCACAACACCATTTTTAAAATGCAGAACAAGAGAGAAATGATTATTGCTCAAGAGCAGTGTCTGTCAAACAGTAACTGTTTATTTGTACTTTGTACACAAGCCCATGATTGTTGTTGTTTTACTCATTGTATTTAACTTGAATCTGTGCTGCAGTCATTTCACTCTTTGTAGAATGTGTTTTGTTGTTCTTTATCATGGTTATATTTTTTATTCTTTGATCTCTTTTGGCTGACTGATAGAAAATCAGCTCTAAGCTGGTGAGTATTCTGTACATGTACACAAACTGACATGTCGGGAAAAAAAACTTTTCAACATTGTCATTGAAATAGGTGCTTTTTTAACATAGAACAATGTTTTTACTATTTTGGTTTAAAAGCACAACATAGATAAGCACAATAAAATTTGGCACATATTTTTAACCATAACAAAAATGCATTTGATGCCATAAATGAGTGTAGAATTACTTGTATTCTTGTATTCACATACACATAGACATAAAGAAAACTTGACTATAAACCACATTTATTTTTTTCATTGACACACACTCAAGAAATGTCCCACTTTACCAACATGTACTATTTGAAAGGTTTGGCAGAAAGTAAAATTAAAGCTTTCTTTTTTTTAAATTACAGAAAACCACATAACATTTGAAGTACACAATACAAACATGACCAAAATAAAAACATATGAAAACTGCTTTTAATAATTAGAATCAGCATGCAAATCAACCCCAGTGTCCTTGCCAAATTTTATTCATTAGTTCTAACCATGATGTCCTATTATCCCTATCCATTTTAGAGATATGCATAAAAATTGGTTGATGGAAACGCCAAGATGCATACAACTTTTAAAAATGCGCATAACCGAGTAGAATAAACTTTTCATTTAATAAGAAAAGATGTGCATAAACTACGATGGAAACACTATTTGCAAACATATTCCAGTATGTGCTTTAAAAAAAGTGATTTTTTACAAGAGATCATATGATGAAGAAAGTTGGTGTTAATGGATAAACCAGCTGTCTGACCACACTGTAAAACATCTGAAATGTTGTTTTGGTCATTCTAAAACACTGTAACCATCTCAGTGTTAGTGTTTTGCTATTATTAATTACCTCCAGAATCAAGAGCGTCTGTGCTCCTCGTCTCATGGCTTTAAACGCCACCAGGTGTTCATTGCGTTTCAGCATCGTCTTCTGAGGTGAAAGTCATTTATTAAATAAAGAAAAGATTGAAACCTCTTTTCCTACCGCAGCAAATTCTGTTTTTACTGTTGGTATTTGGCACCAGTTAATCAGGAAATTACGATTTTGTTCTCTTTGACTCGCTGGATGGAACTATTGCATTTATTCGCATGTCTTTTATGCAATATTCCAGTTTTGCGCAAAGAATTTATTACCATTTTGGATGGAAACATAGCGATTTCAGTCACACAAAGAACAAAGTTACGAGAACGGTGTGTCCTTTTTAAATAAATAATTATCTTAAAGGGGTGGTCTAGAGTGTCATTTTAAGGCTACGTTGTGTTTATAAGATGCACAGGAATGTGTACTTATGCTTCATTTTGTAGAAAATCACATTTTTTTTTCACATATTTTTCTTTGGTTATATACAGCTACTCAGCTAATATGAAAACAACATATTTCCTAGTTCCTCTAAAAAGCCTGCCTTTAAGAGACTGATTGGTCAGCTAATATAATGTGCTGTCATTTGCGTATTGACTTCACGTTACCAGAAAAGCCTCACACCTCCACAAGCATGCGCTTTGCCTCAGCTGTGTAAACACTATCATTCAGCGTAGCTGTTTGCAGTATCGGTTTAAGCCTTAATCAGACAGAAAATAAAAAAGATGAACCTCATGCCTGCTCTTTAAAATAAAATCTGACAAGTGTCTGTATGTATGAGTGAAATAGGGTGTGGCTTCTTTAAGAGAATCACCCTTTTGTGTGTATGCGTATGTGAACAGTGTGTTGACGCAAGTAACACGAGAACCGTATGTGTGCGGGACCGATGTTTATTTTTATTCTTCTCTGATGCTCGAATTAAGTTCTTTTTCTGTAATATATACAGTGACGCTGTTGACAGGAGAATAAAGCACAGGAGTAAAAAAAAAAAAAAAATATATATATATATATATATATATATATATATATATAACTTCGCCGCTGGAGAGCACCTTCAATAATCTAAACAATTGTTTAAAGATGGACTGCAAGATGTGCTGAGTGGCTACATGTGGTGAAAGAAAGATGGCAAAGCTAAGTGTGATTATTGTAATGGACTAATAAGTTATAAAGCAGAGTTTCCCGACCAACATGACTAAGCACCTGCGGTTGGCTCATTTTTCACGAATATAGAATTAAAATAATGGCGCGTTAGGTTCATTGTGCATTCCGCGGGTGCAACCAACAAGAGTATTTGGTATAAGCATGTGTAAGTAATATGAAATGTTTAAATGTCTTTTGTGAGTTTATTATCTGAGATGTAGAACCCAGAGAACGTGGCTGCATACAGAGACAAGGCACGCACTGGTGAAGATTGTGGCTGTTTACAGCGGTTTGACTGATAAAAATGAATTTGTTTCTAAATTGTTAATGGTGCCAACCAGCATTTGCTGTTGTTTACATTTTTGCTACAACAACTGGTAAGGCTAGACACTGTGCATGTCATGTCATATATGGTCATATTTGCTTTAACTTTACATGAGCACATCAAATTCAGCTGGAGAAAAAAAGCTGATCGTAATATCTGCACTCCATTGGTAATTTACATAAAAAATTTAAAGTAATTTATACTCGCAGTGTGCACACTTAACTCTAAATTAGTCTACTTGGACTTGATTGACCTAACTCAAATCAGCTCTTCTGAAACTGAAAATTCAGCGTTTTTAATCTCTGTAAGTCTCCAAGTTCAAGTTTAAACTTCGAGTTGGTTGAACTTCCTTACTGAAACAGGCCCCTTGTGCTGCACACTCGTTGTAATGATGAGGCAAGACCCCCTCATATGATTGCAAATTACTTTGGGCATACAGTAGTAGAAGTGATTTTCTATGCTGTATTTTTCTATGTTTTTCTATGTTTCTATGTTTTCTATAATTTTGGACGGTGAATGCTGGTTATTTTGTTTTGACTTGATTAATAATTGATGCATTATACCTGTCTTTTCAGGTATAATGCATCTCTTGTGTGGGTTTTTACGACTCCTGGTGCCACAAAGTCTGGGTATCTTTTCGTTATCCAGAGAGATGGCCTGCATTAATGCCTCTCCGCATGCTTTAGGCGGACACTCAAATTTGCATATGAGCAGCCTCGAGACAAAGGAACTTTCCAGATCAAACTTTGCACTGAAATCATTGGTCGAGCATGTTGAGAGGGCAGTGCCACAGAGCTCAAGCTTAAAAGCTGCCCCCTCCCCAGGCTCGTCGCTGAACGTCCGAACCAAGAACCGCACAAGGAGGTCGCCCCGTTTAGGGGTCCAGGCTCTTCTGTGCCTGCGTTAACGGTCCGAGCCAACGTTTTCTTATTTTCCGGCAAAGTAAACTCAGTTTAAAGTTGCGATCGCGTTCCTCCGAACTGTATTGCAAACTCAACGCATCAAAAAGGACATCAAAGGAGTTTCATCATGACGGAAGAGACTCGCATAAAGAGAGAGACCCCAGACATTAAAGTCCTGGTATTTTTAGTTATGCGAATAAGCTGTGCCCCTTTTATCAAAAAGGTGTTTTTTTTATCTTGGTGATCCTTAATGGTGTGTGTGAAACTGAAAACAGATTTTGCCACTCTTTATCTGAAATCTCTATTTCCGCGCTTTACTATTTCTCTTTGTTGTTACATGTTCTATAGACCCGTATAGCCTATCTCCACGTGGTTTACCTTTGTTCTATGTTTTATGTATGTTTGCCTCAGAAAAAGTCACTGAAAGACAGATTCCCCTGACTAGCTGTTGTAAGTTGATTAAAACTTATAAATGATTAATCTACTTCACAAGAAGTAGTAATAATTCCCTTTTCTAAATGAATAGATCATTAACCGTGTCCGCTCAGCAGAGCGGAGGCTCTGGTTGTGTTTGTTTGGTCAAATTAACAATAAATTTATCCAGAATGTTAGTTCGCAATGGAACTAACGAATAATAATTCGTTATTGTTAATAATTAATATTCATAATCTGAGAGTCCGCTCCGTCACGCGGGCAGGATCATATACAATCATATGTTTGTTTGACCAAATTGACCGAAGCTTAAGCCAGAATATTGATAATTAAGAATAAACCGTTATTGTTGATTATTAATATTCATAAAATGAGCTAATTTCTGTTACAATATAATACCTGAAAAGGAAGTTGCTAGTATACGGTTTTCAACACACATTCTTTCTCTGTCATTATCTTACTTATTCCTCTTTTGGCTTCTGTTTAGTTCAGGTACTTTATACAGTGATTGGTGATTTAGACTTACAAAAGATGTTTTTATCCATCAGAAAGCTATGAATTAAATATTAAATGCATAGTTCACCCAAATAGTCAGTTTTGTCGTTATTTAATCACACTTTACTTTATCTCTTTTAAAGTTTATTTCTACTGTTGAACACAAAAGATGATATTTGGAAAATGCTGGGTGCTTGGACCTATTGACTGTTATATTTTTTGCCTAGTTTGGAAGTCAGTGGATCCCAGTAAACACCATCTTCAAAATATCTTCTTTTGTGTTCAACCGAAGAAAGAAACTCAAAGAGGTTTATAACCACATCAGGCTTATTTTGGATGAACTATCCCTTTAAAGGGCCATGACACCCCCACCTTCGGTTCAGGTCCACCTTAAATTTTTTTCAAAAGATGCATCATAATGGGCGTGGAACTCTGCGAGCAAAGGGCAGGAGTGGGCATGGCCAGCAGAGCAGGGGAGCAGGAGGAGAGCTAACAATCAAAATGAGACCCAAACCATGAGGAGACCGATGATTTTATAGTTTACAAAGTTGAAATGCAAAGAAATAAACAATAAGCCCCGCTACATTTGTCATTTGTAATTTCATATACACATAACCACAATTTATATTATTATAAAGATACTCGTGTTCATATAAACACTATAAATTAAGACTTTTCCCTCAATCCCCGGCTCTGAATGCAGACTCAGTGCAGCAGGTCTCTTGCCCTGTCTGTTTCAACCATTAGCCCTGCTGGCAATCTAGAGGATTTAGGCGAACACGGCAGCATGACGATGTGTCTAAATGTGAACGAACTCCTGATAAAAGACAAAGTCTGCCATTCTCCAATTCTCTTACTGCTCTCCCAACAAAAATGCTTGCAGCGCACACACACAGCTTTGCTGTATCGGCCCTGACAAATCGGGGGAAAAAACATGCAACAAACCCCCTGGATCATGAAAAAAAAACTCATAAGACCCTTCATATAAAGCTAAATACTGTGTGCCGTGGGTCCGTGGATGCGTCTCACCCAGTCATCATCAACGTAGGATTACAGCTTGGGACTGGCAGTTTTGCTTTGCCTTCAGAAAGCACGTGCTATCATGAATAATTAAGAAGCCAACTCTTCTCATTGGATAAGAAAACTCTGCTATGAATAATAATGAGAAACCGACGAGTCATCTTTGCACTTGAAGTTCTGCGCTACGTCGCAGACTTTGATCCCGCTCCAAAAATCATTTTGAACACGGAAGCTGAAATTGGCTGAAAAAAGCTAAAAATTATCCAGTTTTCCCCCACAATTAAAGCTAACAGGTGCTAATATTGTCTTAACTGATGCTCAACACACACAAAACACACTGTTAACACTGTTAAAATCTAAAAAAAAAAAAAGATCTCAAGGGTTTGGTGAACCTTTAAGCCTGGGATGTCCAAACTCGGTCCTGGTGGGCCGGTGTCCTGCATAGTTGACCTCCAACTTGTTTCGACACACCTGCATGGAAGTTTCTAGTCTACCTAGAAAGAGCTTGATTTAGCTGGTTCAGGTATGTTTAATTGGAGTTGGAACTAAAATATATAGGACACCGGCCTTCCAGGACTGAGTTTAGACACCCCTACTTTAAGCAGAGGGACTGTAGAATGCATGTAAATTATTACAAATAAGTATTATATAATTAGTTACACTTTATTTTACAGTGTCCATGTTTCAGTGTACTTGCATATTAAATCAATGAGTGCTACTAATAAACAGCTTGCAATTGGTAAAGAGTTAAGGTTTTTTAAAAAGGCAAATAATAAACTTTTATGTTGATTCAGCAGTAGCTTGTTTGACCCATAACAAATTTGTTAACTGTCCTGAGTAACATTGTTCTATGACCAATGGACAGTTTTTACTGTCTACAGTTGCATGTGTGACAAGAACAATGCAAAATAGAGAGTTATCATTTAATTATTTAAATTGTTTCAGTGTTTAATATTTAGTGTTTTTTTTTTTCTTTCAGAAATCTGGCCCTTTAACTGGTGTCCCCATATCAGGGGTAAGACTATTAAATAATTATTTTTAATTTAACAGTCACATTTTTTTCAGTGATTGACTATTGCATTGTTATTATGTCATTAAAGTTATTTGAATAGTCAGATCCTTAAGATATAACGCAGAAATTAAAAACTTTCTGTAGTCCTTTACGACCTTATTTTCTATTTCCAGTGTCTTGGTGACCAATCTGCTGCTCTGGTTGGACAGATGTGCTTTAAAGATGGACAAGCTAAAAATACGTATGATTTAGTTTTGTTAATCTGTATTTAATAAAAAACAGTATTACTGAAAACAATCTATTGTTGTCTTTAAAACCTAATTGTGACAGCATGCAGGTATTAAACGGATGGTTCACCTAAAAAAGAAAATTATATCATTAATAAGAATTAATAAGAAAGACTGTGTTTTTGGTTCCTTGCCTGACTTTGCAAGTCTTATAGGTGCTATATACTGCATTAATTCAATAATTTAAATTGTTCAAAAGAGGACAAACTCTTGGTGCGTGTGACTAAAACAGCTAATCTTTGTGATGTATCAAGAGCCGCAGTTTCCAGTGTAATAACACCATCCCACCAAGAAGAATGACCAACATCCAACAGGAGTAACTGTGGATGCAAAAGTAAGCTGCCTTAAACGGTGTCTGGGTGTTAAACCAGATTGTATCCAAAAAACATAAAACCCCAGCTGCTTAACTCACTGCAGAATTAAATGTGCACTTGAATTCTCCTATTTTAACCAAAACTGTTCATTGCGAGCTTCACAGGGTAAATATACAAGACCAGGCTGCTAAAGCCAAACCTTTGGTCACTTGCTAAACTCGCTAAAACGTAGCATTTGGCCAATGTTAAAAGTATTTTTCAATGGTGTCTGCTGTGAAAATCTGGGGCTGTGGAAAATGTGAAAATGTATTGTTCTTTGAGGAGAGTACCTTCACTGTCTCCAACATCTGGCGAAGTTACAGTGTGGAGAAGAAGTAAAGACGTGTACCACCAGACTGTTGCATGACTTGCCACTATTCTGGAAGAAGCATGATTCAAAATCCCTCTGGCCACTGTGCAGTACTTGTATTTTCAAGCCAAACTGATACTGTATTTGCTGCAAAAGGAGGCCTTGTACCATACTAATGAATTATTGTGTAAAACCAGGAATTTTAGTTTCATTGTCCAACAAAAATGGCACCTTTTATGGCCCATTTCCACAGTTTGGTACAGTATTAATTTATATCCATTTCCACAGTCAAAGGTACCAAAAAAGTTAACTATACCGTACCACTTTTTTGCTACCCTTTTCATAGAATAATTTGCACAACAGAATTGTACCAAAAGTGACAGCTTGGAGTATAGCCAGACTTATGGATTACTGATAAACTAATATTAATCTATATAAATATAGCAGTTTATTTTTTAATCAGCTCAGATGTTTCCAAAAGGGCTGATTAGCGACTTTTGGAAATTCTTAAATCCAATCAGATCTGCTAAAATGTTTTCAAAAAAGTGTGTCATATGCATCAGATTTTTAAATCATCATCAGATGCATTTTTATCAAATCTGGTTCATAGAAGTGTTAGTTATTAACATTTATACATGAGAATTTATGTATAAAACTTTTTTGTTGGAAGTGATTTTCACATGCAAAATGGTTTTAAAATTTAATCTAAATTCATCCAATATTTTAATTTTTATTCCAAAGATGATTAATGGTCTTAGAGGTTTGCAAAGTCATGAGGGGGAGTTAATGTCAAAATTTTAATTTTTGGGTGAACTGTCTCTTTAAGACTGATGGTATTTTTTTTTTTTAAAGTTTTGCTTCTCTTCATCTAATCTTTTTTTTTTTTTTTGCAGTTATGGGACTGGTTGTTTCTTGCTTAAGAATGTAGGAACAAAGGTATTGAACATGCATATATCTAATGTACATTGTTTCTGTATTTATTTAATCTACTTTTGTTTTGTTTTAATTTTCTGAAGCCTGTTATGTCAGACCATGGACTTCTGACCACGGTCGCATATAAACTAGGGCGGGACAAGCCAGCCTGCTATGCGCTAGAGGTAGTGTTGTGAAATGTTGCCATTGTTTTACATTTCATACTATGATTCTTGTCTATGTCTTACTAAAATTTAAATCCTGTATTGTTTCAATGAAAGTTTTTCGTGTCTCAAAAGTTTTATTAAATTCATTATATTTCTCATAATCACATTCTGATGTTATAGTTAATTATTTACTCTTATACCTTGGGGCTCTTGAGTGCTTGATTCTATTTGGCTGGTGACCATTTTTAAGGACTTGCATAGCTAAAGTGATTCAGGCATTGACTGTATTACAAATTTGTCTCACTACGCTGAAAGATTTTATTGATTTCACTGTAAACAACTGTCAAAATTCAAATCAAAATAAAACAGAAGTCTTTGAATGAGACATAAAAAAGTAGTACTGTACACAGAAGTTATTTGAGGACAAAATCCTGAGACCAAAGTCAGTCCAGTTTATTTGAATAATTAAAAAAAAAGTACACCCAAGGTGTAAAAGCCACTCTACTTCTTGGTGTGGCCACATTTCCACCTCATATATGCAGTACATTTCTAATAATTTGATGGCACACTGTCAGTTATTCCTTACTTAGTAATTTTGTTCTTTTCTAGGGTTCAGTTGCCATTGCAGGAGCAGTTGTGCGTTGGCTAAAGGATAACCTTGGGATTATCCAGACCTCTACAGAATTGGGTATCTCTGAATAAAAATTATATTTATGAACAATTCATGTAAAATATTTAACACTGTTATTACTACTTTTTTATTTATTTTTTTTACTTTTCTCTTTTTAACTCAGAGAAACTAGCTGCTGATGTTGGCACATCATATGGTTGTTATTTTGTTCCTGCATTCTCTGGGTTATATGCACCATACTGGGAACCAAGTGCCAGAGGGTTAGTAACTGATCCATTTATTTAAAATTTTCTTTGGGGCTGATTTTAAATTTATTGATATAAAACACTGCAATGTGAGGAGAATAAGCATTGCAGTATAATAAAACTTTAAATCAATTTGCAATCTTTTGTATTATTGAACCTCTTTCTACTGTTTCTACAGGATCATTTGTGGTCTAACACAGTTCACCAATAGGAGTCATTTGGCTTTTGCAGCCCTTGAAGCTGTCTGCTTCCAGACTCGAGAGGTATTCATCAATTAGTTTGTATGGTCTGTTTTGATGTACATTTACCCTTTGCCTATTTTTAGAGTTTTAGGGATGTATGGGATTTTTTGTACTATATCACATATAAACAGGTAATAGATACTAATATTTTTTCAGATTCTTGATGCAATGAACCAGGACAGTGGAATTAATCTCTCTCAGCTCCAGGTTGATGGAGGCATGACATCCAACCGATTACTGATGCAGCTGCAAGCTGACATACTGTGTATCCCAGTCGGTAAAATGCCCTTTTTTTAATCAAAACTCATTTGAAGGATGAAGTTCTTTAATTTTTGATTTATTGTAATTTTGATTTACTGGTATATTTGTATTAAAAATGTATATGGAATGTAAATAGTTTTTGTTTACAGTAAAGCCGTCCATGCCTGAGACCACGGCTCTGGGTGCTGCCATGGCAGCAGGAGCAGCTGAAGGGGTTAGTGTGTGGAGCCTGAACCCTGAAGATCTCACAGAGGTCACTTCAGAAAAATTTGAACCTCAGATCAATCCAGAAGGTAAAGGAATCTAAAGTACAGCACACTACAGATTTTATTTTCAGTTTATTGTTGATTGACATAGCATTGTTGAAATTAGTCCTCAAGGTAGCTGTGGCACATTAAAACTAGAAAAGTAAAGTTCATAAACAAACTTTATGGTGGCTTAAGAAAGCCTAGTTTGAAAGGTTGAAGTTGTTTTGAAGTGTAAATAATAGAAGTAATTTGTAGATAACTACATATGTTAAGGCAAGGCAGGTTTATTTATATAGCACATTTCATACACAGTGGCAATTCAAAGTGCTTTACATAAACAAGAATAAAAAGTTTAAGAACATAAAACACAAGCAATAAAAGTGATTAAAAACAGATTAAAACAGGAATTAAAAGAATGAAAAAACAAAACAAAAACATAATAGTATGATCTGTCGGACGTAGCACAGTGCTCGTTCAGTAAAGGCACAGCTAAACCGATGTGTTTTCAGTCTCAATTTGAATGTGCCTAATGTTGGAGCACATCTGATCATTTCTGGAAGCTGATTTCAGCAGCGAGGGGCGTAGTGCCTGAAGGGAGATTCACCCTGCTTTGACTGGACTCGTGGAATTTCTAGTTTATTTGATCCTAAAGAGCTGAGTGATCTGTTGGGTTTGTATTCAGTCAGCATATCTGTAATGTATTGAGGTCCTAGGCCATTTAGTGATTTATAGACAAGTAATAATACTTTAAAATATACCGTATTTTCCGCACTATAAGGCACACCTAAAAGCCTTAAATTTTGTCATAAAACGGCCGTGCACCTAATAATCCGGAGCGCTTTATGTGTGTGTTTATGTGAGTTCAAAAATCTGTAAAAATGTTGTGTGATTTTGGAAAGCGCTTTGCTTGACACAGGGACCTAAAACGTACACTCCGTATGCAGCAGCAATAAACCAATCAAAACCACATATGTTTGTCTAATGATCCCCGGAAATGGCACCAGTGAGGAGACATGCTAACGAGGCACAATTCAAACTACAAGCTATTAGTTACGCGGTTGTAAATGGGAATAGAGAAGCTGCGAAACAATTCCACATTAATGAATCTATGGTTCAGAAGTGGAGGAAACAAGAAAATGAACTGCGCCAAGTTAAGAAGATGAATCAGAGTTTCCGCGGGAACAAAGCAAGGTGGCCACAGTTGAGAGTTTAGTGAAGTTTAAAGTGAAGTTGTGAGCGGCTTGGGAGCAATGGATGACAGACGGCGAACACACTTTTACTAAGACTGGTAGGGAGCGCCGGGTGAGTTACGCCACCATATGTGAATGGATTGTGGATGCCTGGGCTAAGGTATCTGCTTTAACTGTTGTCCGAGCTTTCGCAAAAGCCGGCATTATTGCTGAACAGCCACCCGGCAATGAGACTGACTCCGACAATGATGAGAGAGAACCCAGCGTGTTTGATGGCGAAACTGCCCAGCTGTTCAATTCAGACACAGAAGATGGGGAGTTTGATGGATTTGTGGGAGAAGACTGATTAAAAAAAATAATGTGAGTGTATTGTTAAATAGTACAACTAGTTCAACAAAACTATGTTAACTGTTTTGCTTCCATTACCTTTTTTTGCAGACTGTATTTTAGCGTGCGCCTTATATTACGGTGCGCCCTATATTACAGTGCGCCTTATGTATGGGTTAAGTACAGAAATAGACCCCGTAATTGAGTCTTATAATCCGGTACGCTTTATAGTGCAGAAAATACGGTATTGTGTAACTGGGAGCCAGTATAGAGACCTGAGGACAGGTGTATTGTGCTCTGATTTCCTTCTTCTGATCAGAATCCTGGCTGCAACATTCTGGATGAGCTGCAACTTTCTGACTGTATTTTTGGAAAGGACAGTGAGGGTGCCGTTACAGTAATCTATCCTGCTGCTGATAAAAGCATGAACAAGTTTCTCTAAGTCTTCACTGGACACAAAGCATCTAATTGGTGCAGTGTTTTTGAGATGATAGTATGCTGATTTACTAACTGCTTTGACATGACTGCAAAACTCAGATCTGACTCCAGAGTCACACCAAGATTTTTGACCTTATTTTTTGTTGTTTGACCCTTAAAGCCAAGGTACCCATTCACCTTGAGAACCTCATCTCTTTTCCCAAACACAATGACTTCAGTTTTCTCTTTGTTTACCTGAAGAAAATTTTGGCACATCCAATTATTAATTTCATTAATGCATTGGCCGAGGGTGTCAATGGGGCTGTAGTCATTAGGCAGTAAGGCTAGGTAAATCTGAGTGTCATCAGCATAGCTGTGGTAGGAGATTTGGTTCTTTCTCATTATTTGGCTTAGAGGGAGCATATAAAGGTTGAACAGCAGAGGTGCCAGAATCGAGCCTTGTGGGACTCCACATGTCTTGGGTGTCCACCTCGACCTATGGTCACCTTTACTGACATAGTAACCTCTCCCTTCAAGGTAAGATTTGAACCATTTGAGGACTGTCCCAGACAGACCAACCCAGTTTTCCAGCCTATCCAGAATATGCTGTGATCGACTGTGTCAAATGCAACACTGAGATCGAGCAGTAGCAGCACTTTTCTTTATAAGGGCGCTCTCTGTACTGTGATGTGCTCTGAAACCAGACTAAAATTTTCTAAACACCACCTGAAGTTTAGAACTTGTTAACCTGGTTGAAAACAACTTTTTCAAGGATTTTGCCAATGAAAGGGAGATTTGAGATTGGCCTGTAGTTGCTCAATAGGGTGTTATCCAGGTTGCTCTTCTTCAACAGGGGTTTAACAACTGCAGTTTTAAGTGAGTTTGGAAAAATCCCTGTGAGAAGTGAAGCATTTACCACTTTTAGAAGATCCATTTCTAAACGGGTAAACAAAGTTTTAAAGAATGATATGGGGAGCATGTCAAGACTGCAGGTTAATGTTTTCATACCTTGCACAATCTCTTCTAAGAGTTTAACATTAATTAGATATTATAATGGACTACTAGTTTCATCTTTCTCCACATACGCTCAGCTTTTCTGCACTGTCTTTTCATCATTTGGACTCTTGGTGACCTTGTCCAAGATCACTTTTGCCTGCCAGTCATCTTCCTGACTTTAAAGTTAAGAATGACATAGATGACATTGTTCCTGTTAGAGTTAAACAAATCAAAGAGAGAATCAACAGAGTCTGCAGATATACTTGGTGCTAGCGATATGGCATCATAAACTGCTCACTAGTGTTCTCACTTATGCATCTCTTTCTTACAGAGACAGATCTGTCTTTAATAGCTGGAGTGATCAATAGATCAAAGAAAATACAGAAATGATCAGATGCAACATCCTTAACAACAGTTGATGAAATGTGTAAACCTTTAGTTATAAGTAGATCAAGAGTGTGTCCACGATTGTGTGTGGGTCCTTAAACATGCTCAGTCAATTCAAAACTGTCAAAAACATTCTTTTGCAGCATTGACTTCTGGCTTATCAATGTGAATATTAAAATCCCCAACAATAGTAAAATAGTCAAATTCAGAGGTTACTATTAATAACAGCTCAGTAAAATCATTGATAAATTTTGAAGGTGCTGCTTTCAGAGGTAGACCGGAGGAATACGGTGTTGTTTGCAAGTTTGTCCTCCGGAATTAAAAACAAAAGAAAAAAATAGAGTGGGGAAAGTTTAGCTGATGCGGTTGACACAGTTGAGTCTGAATATCACACTGTGGAGTTAAAAGAGAAATAGTGTGATTTATAGGTGTAAAATGTTGTAGCACCCTCAACAGTCTACAGTATTTATTATGAGAAAGACAAGTAGGAATCAATAATAAGTCTGTGCATCATATTTTATTTTCACATTTATTGAATGGAAATGTTTCTGATTCACTTATGCAAATTTATCTTCAGATGGCGCTTTTATAGCAATGTGCGTGTGGTAGATCGCTCCCATTACAATGGAAAAACAGGCGACCGCTGCAAATTGCGCTTTAATGTTTGGCTGGTCAACTGTATGGTATGAAAACCTTATATACCTGCTAGATGAACCTGTCTCATACAGCTGCCATTGCAAGGCTCAAAGACACTTTGTAGAGTGCAATTTAACACAACTGCCTCTAGGAGTCGCCAATGTAAATAAAACAGACATGCACAAAAAATGTGCGTACGTGGAGCTGCGCACGTTCAGTTCATCGTTAGTAAATCCAAACGTGAGCGATTCCGAGCGTGAAACCTGGCCGTACGCAAAGTTTTTGTGCGTACGCAGCGTTGATACATGAGGCCCCAGCTGAAGATGGGCCATTGTTTAGGCCCTGACGATGTGGCAAGAATCAGAGGGCTCTTCCAGGTGGGTTCAGAGGTGGTTGTGGAGCAGGCTGCTTTTTGGTTGGTAACTGCGGGCTTGCAGCAATGGAGTGTGAGAGTTTAGTTTCAGCAAACACCAGCTCCAGTTGGATTTTTGAAAAATCCAACAGAGGCGAGCAAGGTGATAATAAGAATGTGTCTGATGAGAGCCGCTTTGGGTCTGGGGTTTCTGGCTGCTGAGATGTATTTACCTGGAGATCATCCATGAGTGCTTAAACTTGCTGTTTTGAAGCATCACAGTCTGCCTGTGTTGAGCTAAGTGTGCAGGGCGCAGACGGCATTTTGTCCGTTATCAGTGGTTGTTGTAGCTGAGTGGTTTTATCGCAGTCCTTGTAAGATGACAAGTCCACTCAGGAGCTGATTTGAAGTCCTGTGGTCATTCGGACACTTGCTAGGTGTGTGTGTTTGCCATTCAGCTCAGTGGCATACACAGCTGATGGATGATGGAGGGAGAAATAGATGTTGTCTTTCAGCACTTTTGCACCAAGCTTGTTTGGATGAAGGCCGTCTGATGTAAACAGTTGTCTTTGGTTCCAGAAGAGAAGTTTTTAATAAAATTCAGTCCTCTCTGTTACATGTTTTCTGCAGCCATACATTTAGGCCAAGAAGCCGTGAAAACATATTTTTCCCTCTCACAGGGAGTGGTCCACTGATGAACGGCTGAATCTTCAATCTTTCAACTGTTTCCAATAACTCAC